GATGGTAGGGGAAAAACAAAGGAGGAGGCAACAATGCTTGATAAGAAATGTACTCATTACCTTGCTCATGTAACTGTAACCTCTCTGTACAGTATTTTCACAATAAAAAACTTATTTAAAAAAACCCAATAAATCTTAGGGGAGCTAGTTGCTCATGCTTGTAACCCTAGCCACTCAGGAGGCTAAGATCTGAGGATCATGGTTTGAAGCCAGCCTGGGCAGAAAAGTCTGTGAGACTCTTACCTCCAATTAAGGAGCAAAAAGCCAAAAGTATAAGTGAGGCCCAAACTTGAGTGAAAAAGCAAAAACTAGGCGAGTCCAAGTCCTAACACACACACACACACACACACACACACACACACACACACATTTAGAAGTTAAAATAATACATATGCTACTCATCTCCATGGGATACTCATTGTACTATAGAATTTTTTCCTTCTCTCAAAGCAACAAAAACTTCCCAGACTAGTTCACAAGCAAAATAGAAAAATTTGACCTCATTACTGCTCTCCAGACACGACTTAATCCAGAGTACTTGTGCCAAGCTGTGGCTCCTCACTCAAGGACATAGTACATTCTAAAGGAAAGACTATTGTGTTTTATTTGCCAAAGCTAAAAGTCAAAATTATTTGACCAGTAATTCACGCCAAACATTATTTTCTCATTAATCCACTTTCCTAGCCATTTTCAGAAAACACTGGTTTTCAAATATCATACTGACATCTGTCAATCACTTTCTGAATTTGAGCACCAGCATTGGAAAAAAAAATTGATCGCTGGAGAGTAAACATTGTTGGATATGTAGTGAGAAGACATCAATTAGTGACTTGACTTTGCTCTTTCATAATAGCATGTACATAAGCAAGTTTATTCAGTCTGAGTCTTAGTTCCTTCCTCTGAAAACAGCAACGCCCATATACCCAGGATAATCATGAACATTAAAGGCAACACAGGTAAAGTCACACCTATAAAGTACAAATGGCAGCTTCAAATCCTTCGTGAAAGACAATAGACGGTGATGATTGCTTTTACATAGTTGAGAGGAGCTATGCAAACGTTAGCCACTAGTTCTTTTTTCTTTATTTTGGTCAGTCATAGGACTTGAACTCAGGGCCTGGGTATTGTCTCTGAACTTTCCTGCTCAAGGCTAGCACTCTACTACTTGAGTCACAGTTCTATCTCTGGCTTTTTTAGTAGTTAATTGAATGTAAAAGTCTCACAGACATTGCTAGGCCGGACTGGCTTTGAACTGAGACCTTCAGATATCAGCCTTCTAAGTAGCTAGGATTACAAGTGTGAGCCACCAGTATCTGGCTAGCCCCGAGTTCTACTAAGAGCCCTTTAAATGGGATTCTTGGAATGTTATCTCATTATCCCTCCCTCTATCTATTCATTAGAGTGTAACAAAGCTTCCTCATATATGAAACTCATAAGCATTTAGTCACAGTGATTTAAGGAAGATAAACCTCAAGCAAACCTGTCAGCCACTTTTTTTAATCTCAATTTGGCTTCTTCCTACGGGCAGTTTCTATCAACAAGTGGAGGAGCACACAAGTGACACATTAAAGCAAACCCACAAAAATGAAACTCATTTTCACTTCAGCATCCCTTTTCAAAATAGCTCTCAGCTGGACATTCCTCCTAAATTTGCACATTTTCTCATGATCAATGGAAAATAAAAGTTTGAGGAAAGTAAATAGCACTTGCTGAATACAAATTGAACTCCAATGTCCTAACATGCGATTGACAGGAAAAGGAAAGGCTGACATGGATATAGTTCTTTTTTCACTCCCAATCTGTCTTTCCTCAAAAGTGAAATTGATTATGTAAGAGAGAGACAGGCACTCACACACACACACAGAGCTGATAATCAAAAAACAAATATATTTTCCTTCCACTGCAATTCAGCAAATGAAATAACTCATCAAAAATACAGCTATCTAGGATCTCTAGACTTTTTTTAAATCTACAGATTATCTGCAAAACACTTTGATCTCTAATTCAGTTTTTTGTTAACTCCAGCCTGCCCTTGCTCCCAAAAAGCAAGGAAAAAACAAACCCTCTTGCCTTAAACATTAGACATACAGGAAATCAGATTTTTCAACTAAGGGAATAAAACAAAAGCAAACAAAACCTTGTTTGTTTGTTTTCTTTTCATAAAAGGATATGGTGTACAACTGGGTATGAATTCAGGGCGTCACCCATAGAAGAATCTTATGCCTATGAAGTCATTCCTAATTACAGCCTGTGACTAACAATACAACAATTATGAAACCACGCCACTGGTTCATTTAACGATACATAAGCCCTGAACACAAATCTGCTGAGAACACTCTACCTAAACAACCTGAAACTATTACTCAAATTCTGAAATGTATTTGAGGGTGCAAAGGAAGGATAGTTTGTTTTCCTTTCTTAAGTCATTCAAATTTAGAAATGCAATTCACTCAACAATGTATCTACTTACTAGTGTGTGTCAGTCCTAGGCAGGGTGGACAGGAAGGGTGCCTATGCATGCTAGGAAACTACTGGGTAGAGAATCAACTTTGATTATGAAAATGTCTTTTTTGAAATGGAATGGCTGTTAAATCATAAAAAGGAGCCGGGCGCTGGTGGCTCACGCCTGTAATCCTAGCTACTCAGGAGGCTGAGATCTGAGGATCGATGTTCAAAGCCAGCCCAGGCAGGAGAGACCATGAGACTCCTATCTCCAATAAACCACCAGAAAACCGGAAGTGGCGCTGTAGCTCAAGTGGTAGAGCGCTCGCCTTGAGCTGAAGAGCTGAGGGACAGCGCCCAGGCCCAGAGTTCAAGCCCCACGACCGACAAAAAAAAAAATCATAAAAAGGGGGATATGACTGGGAATGAAGCTCAGTGGTATAACACTTACTGAGCAAGTACCCTGGGGTCCAGCCTCAATATGAAAAAGGAAGGAAGGAAAGAAGAAAGGAAGGGAGGGAGGGAAGGAAGGGGAGGGAGAGGGGAAGAGGGGGTGGAGGGTGAGAAGGGGTGGGGGGAGAGGGCGAGGGGGAGGAGGAGGAGGAAGGGGGAGGGGAGGGAAGAGCAGGAGGAAGAGAGAGCAGAACAGCTGGGTACTGGTAGCTGGCCTATAACCTAGCTACTCAGGAGGCTGAGATCTGAGGATCATGGTTTCAACTCAGACAGGCAGGAAAAGTCCATGAGACTCTTACATCCAATTAACCACCAAAAACCAGAAGTGGAACTGTAAGTAGGTCTAGCTTTGAGCAAAAGCTCAGGAACAGCTCAAGCCCCAGGACCAGGATACAAAAAGTTAAGTTATTGACCAGACTAAATTAATCCCAGCCACTAGTATACTAGGGGAAAGAAAGCTTGATCACAAAGAGTGGGCAATATATTCTTAAAAGAAGAAAATATGTGCATGGGAAAGAAGGCAACAAGGGTAAACAGAACATGGAAGAATATATTATTTCACTTCAAATGGGAGGGGAACCCAACAATGCAGGCTATTATTTGTCACCTGTCTTCATCCAAAACAGGTAGTGCATCTTGGAACACCTACACTTTACACACCTTCCTGTACCAACAGAAACTGCCACCCTGCCTCCTCCCTAGTTAGGCAAGTCAGCAACTGAGTCCCTAGATCCCATAGGCAGTGTTCATAGGTTTAGTCCCTGGACTAAAGCTCATCTACTCTTACTGTGAATACTCAAGCTCCAGCACTCTGCTTTCCAATTACCTTAGAAGATTTCAACTAGCACCTCTGCCCACTTTTGCATCTATGTTCATTCATCAGGCTGTCACAGAAGTCTCAGTACGTTCTAGGTAAGTGTTGGGTGCCAGAAATATACACAATAGTACCTCCAAGTCCCCATTTCCCTGGGAGAGCTTACTGTCCACAGGAGAAAATAGACTGAAAACCAAAGACAAACATTGAGAGCTACCACAGTCATAGACAGTGAGTGGCAGGTGTCAGCAAACATTTTCTAAGATGAACTTTGTCTTAGAGCTTAGAGAGGAATTTCTCAGTTAAGACATCACTGGCAACAGTGTTCAAAAAGATGGTATCTGAGAGACTGGGGCTTTGGGCCTAAGGTTAGTGACAAACACAGTTACAGAAGATCAGAGGTCAACTCAGAAGTGGTCAAGGCAGAAGAAGTCAGCAAATATTCAGTTGAACTTTAGCCATCTTTTTTTCATTTTTGTGGAGCTGAATGTCAAACTCAGGGCCTCCCTCATACTAGGCAAGTGAATCACACTTGGCCTAATTATTTTGCCCCTTTGCCCCCAACTCTTCCATTTACTAAACCAAGCCTCATTTCCAATTACTCTATTCTCACTCTCCAGGTGTGGAAACTGGAGACTGTAGTTTGGCCATCAGGAAGAAAAGAAAGATGAGTCAACCCCCAAACATTTTAGAGTTTTCATTTCCAAACTCTGATGTTCTCTCTATCATATCCCATTCTTCTCTCTCTCCCTCCCTCTCCCTCTCCCTTCCCCCGACTCCCTCCCTCTCTTTCTTTCTTTGGTGCTAGCACTGGGGCTTTAACTCAGGGCCTGGGTTCTTTGTCTAAGCTTTTATACTCAACACGGGCATTTTCATTTGAGCCATAACTCTACTCCTGGCTTTTTGGTGGTAAATTGAATTCCTGCCCAGGCTGGCTTCAAACTGCAATCTTCAGATCATAGCCTGCTGAGCAGTTAGGATTACAGGCTTGAGCCACCAGCACCCAGCATACCATACCTCATTCATGCTTGCAGTCTGGTCTACTCCAGAAGCCTTGTAGCTGATCTTTCTTGTTTCTTTCCAATGTACACTTCACATTCCTGTTTCTGAAGAAATATTGTGAGCCTTCCATACAAAAGGAAATTTCAACCTTTCAGCACAGTTTACAAGGCCCTAATTATTCATTCAGTTAAGTAGGTGCTTTCTTCCTAATATCACTTCCTATTAGTTGTATTGCACCTCTGAATCTTACAGTCTAGAAACCCCCTATTCTAGCCAGGTGCTGGTGGCTCACACCTGTAATCCTACTTACTCATGAAGCTAAGATCTGAGGATCATGGTTCAAAGCCAGCCTAGGCTGCCAAGTCTATGAGACTCTTATTTCCAATTAACCACCAGAAAAACCAGAAGTGGAACTGTGGCTCAAAGCAGTAGAGCATTAACCTTGAGCAGAAGAGCTTAGGGACAGTATCCAGGCCTAAATTCAAGTCCCACAACAGATGAAACAGAGAGAAAGAGAGAGAGAGAGAGAGAGAGAGAGAGAGAGAGATGGGAGAGGGAGGGAGGGAGGGAAGGGGAGGAGAGGGCGAAGAGGTAGAGAGGGGGAGGGAGGGAGGGAGGGAAGGAAGGAGGGAAGGAAGGAAGGTAGGAAGGAAGGAGGGAGGGAAGGAAGGAGGGAAGGAAGGAAAGAAGGAAGGGAGGGAGGGAGGAAGGGAGGGAGGGAGGGAGGAAAGAAGAGAGGGAGGGAAGCAAAAGAAAAAAATGAGGTCTTAGGTAACGAGAGCCCCCCACCCCCAAAAAAGTGGCTGGGGGCATGGGTGAGTTTTCAAACCTCAGTACCACAAAGAAAAACTCTTTGATGGGAGTGATCATGTTATTCACCCTTACACATTTCATTCCACATTAGAGAGCCTGCACAGAGCAGGTAACACTAATAACTAAAACATCGATAATGTATCTTTGGGATTTTTCATCACAGCCTTTTTTACTCTAGACTATGCTAAGTGCTTTACATATATTCTGAAAATTACTTCTCAGAAAACCCCTGAGCCTGGCTAATATTGTTTTTCTGATTTTACAGAAAGCAAATAGGCTGAGATATGTTGAATAACTTGCCTTAAGTCACACAGCCAGAAGTAGGCAGAGTATGCAGTAGGTCTTAAAATTCTCATCAACTTTCCTGCCCAGGCTGGCTTCAAACTGTGATCCTCAGATCTCAGACTTCTAAGTAGCTAAGACTTTAGGTGCCACTGGCTATAAATAATATATATTCTTTAAAAAAATATAGACACGGACCATTCTAGCTAATATTAAGTAATATTCCATTACTTAAAGTATAAAGTAAGAAATATTTACTTAAATCTTAGCTGAAATAATAAAACCTGTAATTCTACAAAACATGCAGAATGTGGACAACAGAATTGTAAGTGTTCTTTCTGAAGGTAAAACAGCTCATGTGGAGCCTGTGGGTTTAGCTCAATGGTAGAGAGAAGCCCTGGGTTCAATCTTGCACACCAGAAAAGAAACACACACACCAAAAAGAAAGAAGCATGTCAATGTTTTTCTTGAAGCAAATCATTCCTGTACTCCACACATCTTAATTTCAGCCTCTTGAATGCTAAGTGCTGTGAACAGCCACACCCACTGTACCAATGCTAACAACTTGGTCTCACTCTAAGTCTAACCAAACATTCATGTATCTATACGATTTACCTTTTAGTTTAGGACTCTTTCTCTTACAGGACTTGCTTAAGGGAGAAAAGAAGTTTTGTTTGCCTTTTTAAAGAAAACTTTTATAGAATTTCGGTAATGCCATAATTGCCATAGTTTAACAGGGTGTATGTATCATCATTTCACGCTTTGAGAATCAAAAGAAGGCAGTGGAATTCCAAAAGTCTTTCCCTCTGTCTAGGTTTTAGTTCTGAAAATCTAAGAAAGGTTAAACTAGAAGGAACAACTTGGGGGGGGGCGGGAGAGAGGGGGAAAGGAGAAGGATTGGGATTGTGGGGGGGAGGGGGAAGGCTGGGAAGTGATGTGAAGGGTAAACAAAGGAGGAGGCTGCAATGCTTGGTAAGAAATGTACGCATTATCCTGCCCATGCAATTGTAACCCCTCTGTACAGTATGTTCACAAATAAAATAAAATAAAATTTAAAAAAAAGAAGGAACAACTTACTGTTCACTTATGGCAGATGAGCATGATGAAAAATGGCCTGTTGAGCCAGCTGCTGGTAGCTCATCCCTATAATACTAGTTACTCAAGAGGCTGAGCTCTGAGGATTGTGGTTCAAAGCCAGCCCTGGAAAACAAATCCAATTAACTAGATTTTAAAAAGCCCAAAGTGAAGTTGTGGCTCAACACATAGTATCAACCTTGAGCAGAAAAAGGTAAGGGAGAGCCCAAGTCCTTGAGTTCAGGCCCCAGTATGGGCACAGAAAAAGTAAAATTGCTTACTGGAGTCAATGCAGAGGGAAACTTCTAAGAGTCCAATATTTACCATGTACAGCAGATTTTGCTTATTACAAGGATATTTTTCAGGCCTAGATCTGGAAAATTTTCATGATACTTTGGTCACAAATTGTAAAACTAAAGAGCGGGTATATTTAACCACAATCAAGAACACTGACAGCATTTTCTTTTTAAAAACTGTTTGCACTGATACTGTACTTTTACAATAGATTTTGACTAAAACAATATAAATGTGAAAATATATCATGTCAGAATTGTGTAAGACTTCAGGAACATATGTAAGGTAAACTAAAAAGCTATTTTAGCCATCTTGTACTTCTCTGATACAAAAAAAAATCAGTTTTCCCTTTGTGTTATTATTTATTTATTTAAGTTTTGTGTCTTGACTCTCAGAGCCTGGGTTTTGTTCCTGAGCTTTTTTTTGGGGGGGGGCGGTCGAAAGGGGACTATTCAAGCCAGGCACTGGTGGCTCACACCTACAATCCTAGCTACTCAGGAGCTTGAGATCTGAGGAATGAGGTTCAAAGCCACCCTGGGCAGGAAGTCTAATAAACTACTCAGAAAAGGCCAGAAGTAACACTGTGGCTCAAGTGGTAGAATGTTAGCCTTGAGCAAAAGAATCTCAGGGACAGCACCCAGGTCCTGATTTCAAGCCCCAACACCAGCAGAAAGAGGGGGGAAAGGGAAAGGGAGAGAGGGAGAGAGGAAAGAACCAGTGCAAAAAAAGAGGGACTGGGGATATGGTTCAAGTGGTAAAGCACTTACTTACCTAGCAAGTGGGAGGCCCTCAGTTTAATCCCCAGTACTGTCAGAAAAACAAATACTGATGGGGATGAATAGGGTAAGTGCAGGCCTACTCATGAGGCAGCCTATATAGTTAGCTCATATGGATTGAGAAATAAGAGCCAGGTGTGCTGAAGCAGACCTCCATAATCCCCACACTCAGGAGGCCAGGGTAGGAGGATCACATGTTCCAGTTCAGCCTAGGCTACATGGCACACCCCTGTCTCAAATAAACATATACAAGGCTAGAGGTGTAGTTTATGCTTGCTTAGCATGCCCAATGCCTTAAATTCCCAATCCCAGAGAGAAGAGAAGAGAAGGGGGAAGGAGGAAGGGGGAAGGGTGAAGAGAAGGGAAGAAAAGGGGGAAGGGAAGGGAAGAGAAGGAAAGGAAAGGAAAGAAAAGAGAAGGGGGAAGGGAAGGGAAGGGGGAAGGGAAGGGGGAAGGGAAGGGAAAAGGGAAGGGAAAAGGGAAGGGAAGGAAAGGGAAAAGGGAAGGAGAGAGAGGGAGGGAGGGAGGGAAGGAAGGAGGGAGGAAAAGGAAGGAAGGAAGGAGAAAGAAAATAGAAAGAAAGAAAGAAAAAAAAAGAAAGAAAGAAAGAAAGGAAGGAAGGAAGAAAGAAAGAAAGGAAGAAAAGAGAAAATATAAATAAACCAGAGACCCATCTACATAGTTAAGGGAAAGCTCTCACCCAATCTAACGTTCTTACATTCTTCACATGCAATTGACCTGTTATCATGCTTTACCCAACTACTCTCATTTAATACTTCAAGATATTACAAAACTCTAAGATATCTGCAACCTGTTGTTTGAATTTAGCTGAAAGTCAAACAGAGAGTTTGTTTAGAAGCATTCTTATTGGCAGTAATTCTGGCATACATGCAGTACATTTCATTTCACCTTTACAATAATCCACACTATGCATGGATCATGTTGCAACAGGCCTGCAATTTGTAGATAAAAGTTAACACTTACAAATAAATGTGAATTTATTCAAGCTAAAGTTATACTTCTACATTTTGAGCCCTTTCAATACATACAAAAGTAAGAAAAAATAGTTCAACCAACACCCATGAACCCATTTCTGATTCCACAATTAGCAGGATTTACCCACAACTGCTTGATTTATTCTCTTTGGGTTCCCTCTCCTCTCCTCTCCTCTCTCTAATTGGAATATTTCAAGGTACACTGAAGACACTTCATGACTTTACTCCTTCAGAGCTATTAAGAAATGAATTCTTTTTTTTGGAAATACCTCTATTCTATGCCAGAATAGTTCTGGCTAGATTCTAATTGATTTTTTCCCCCAGTACCAATACTTATGAGTCACTCTGACCGACGGGTGGTGAATCCTGTGTCACTTCCTGGAGCAGTATCCAATACTTCCATTTTAAGTAAAAGTTTGCTTTCCTCTTTTTGAATTTCATAAACAAAGATAAGATCTAAAAGCAATAGCTACTTAAAATAAACCTATTAATAGAACCCAATAATAGAAATACTCAATTTAACTTACATTGAAGAAATTCTTTAAATGTTTGTCATACTAAAGTTTGGAGGTACTTAATGTCTTAATAATGAAGTAAATATGTCAAACTGAATAGCACAAGCAAATCATACCCCTTCTCCTATTTTTACCAAGCTAAGGGATTGAAATAGGACATACTTCTTTTTAAAAGCTATAATTCCTCCTGTATTTCCCAAGCAAATTTCTATACCATACAAAATAAATCTGAATAAATTACGGGAAAACAAAGCTGCTGCTAATGAAATGAGTTAACTTTAACACCTAAGGGGTATTTTCAAAAAAATTAACGTATTTGTTTGAGGAGCCAAGAGCAATATTTGGGTATAGGGTG